GCAAAGTAACTATATGACCGGCAGCCGGTCACGGTTTATCAAATACTAAATGGCCGGCAGTCTAGTGACTATAGTTGAATATAAAAACTTTTGTTTGCGTTCACTTCTACCGAGCTTGCCGTTAGCTCATACGGCAAGGGCGCTGCGTGCGGAAAGTTAAACGCAGTCGGGGTCGGGATGTGTTTTGTCTGACTTAGCATTGTCTTAAAATTTTTTAAACTTTTTTTTCCGACTTTTCTAACTCTTAAAAGGTTAGGGTTAGGGGTTAGGGTTAGAAAAGGGTTTGGGGTTGGGGATAGGTTTATCTTATAAAAATTCAACTTTAACTATAGTCACTACTACACTAGACTGCCGGCCATTTAGTATTTGATAAAACGTGACCGGCTGCCGGTCATATAGTCACTTCGTTTCATGGGAACGACCTAAGACTGCAATCACGGCTTCAATTTTTGAATTGCAGAATAATTAGATGCACTATCTAGTGTATATAAGATATCTATGGCCTCTATACGCTGTAAACAGGCCCTAGTAGCCTAGGGGTAAATGTCAATTGGGAATTATCCTGTTTTTTCCCCTGTTGGTATGATTGTAAATATATTTATGTTGTAATGTTTTGCGACGAATTTAATTAAACTAAACTAAACTAAACTAATAAATTGATTATACTCATCAGAAAAGAAACGTAGCGACGTACTTTATACAGCTTCCTTCGTCAACTACAGTGCTATGTTCTTGACCATCTTTTATGTCCGATGAACAATCGGTATTTTCTTCGTGCTCTTCATTCGTTCCCCAGTCTTCCTCACTCGCTGTTTCACTTGCCCGGTGTTGGCTAGAAGAGCCAGCAGATATTTCAGACGAGACATCTGCTTCAAGTTTTCCTGGTGCTGAATCTTTACGACTACCGCAGGTAGCCCAACTACTCAAGCAGCACAATATGTGGAAATAATACGGTGAAAAGCCGAGGTTTTCCAGAAATTCTCTACCGACATAGCTGCCCCAAGAACAACAGTGGTGGCAACACAAGGCGAACAGGAGACCTCTAACACGAGTGTGGTCCAGTTTGACTCTTTTAGTTGATCTAAAAAATAGGGCGCGTGAAACATTTAGAAAAAAACGCATGGGTTACTTACAATGTGAAGAGCAATTCCGGTTTGAACTAATTTCTATGCAATGCATGACTACATCGTGTTTTTTTTCTTGTACACACATCTTGTAACAAGTCTGCCAACAAGCCGTCAACAAGATGTATTCGCACTGCTTGTCACAAGTTGTCAACAGGTTTGGAACAACTTGTTGATAACTTGTAACAACCTTGTCGACATTATCAGACTTGTTGCAAGGTTGTTCTGACAAGTCCGTGACATGCTTGTTATAACAAGATTGTTACAACCTTGTGTTGACAACCTTGTAACATCCTTGTTACATCATGGCTGTAACACACTTGTTAGCACAGTCTTGTAACAAGGCTGATAATGCCATCAAGCTTGTTACAAGTTGTTAACAGTTTGTTTCAAACTTGTTACAACAAACTGGGAACAAGCAATGCGAACACAACTTGTTGACAGCTTGTGAACAGACTTGTCACAGCTTGTTTGCAGACTTGTTACAACTTGTACGTTTTTACGCATGTGTAAAAACGCACAAGTTGTAACAAGTCTGCAAACAAGCTGTTTAATGTGACATGCTTGTTATAACAAGATTGTTACAACCTTGTGTTGACAACCTTGTAACATCCTTGTTACATCATGGCTGTAACACACTTGTTAGCACAGTCTTGTAACAAGGCTGATAATGCCATCAAGCTTGTTACAAGTTGTTTACAGCTTGTTCCAAACTTTTTGACTTGATATTTCTGTATAACTTGATATTTCAATATTTTATATTAAGAGAGTACACTGTACTGTACCTTGTTTCCTCTGCGTCAAAACATTCTCTGAAGTCGAATGAATTAAGTAGACATCTTAACGCGAGATCTATAAAGATAGCACACATTATAACCATTGTAGGAACCTAGCAACTTCACGAATACTACAAAGCCTTGAAATTATAGCTTGTATAAACCCTCAAAATCCAACTTGGTGTTGAGTCAATTTACTGTAGTTGATTAAACTTGTTCCTTTATTTGCTTAGTTCAGGTTCACCTTCGTGAGGTTTCAATTCATAGATTGTTGTACTCACCTGTAGCGGCCCCACATAAATGTTTGCTCACTCCAGTTATTTGTTGTTGACTGTTCGATATAAGCGGCACCTTATCTAACAAGAGATATAAACATAAGGTTTAACCTTCTTGTAGACGAAATACACCTCTTCATCTAATCTTTTCAACATCCAGATGATTCCCAAAAGCGGTGTGCCACATGATTAAGGCACATATATACCCACATGAAAAAGATTACATTCACTTACTGTACCTAAATTTAAATGTTCAATATCAATCTGAACCCGATGAAAACTTGGTCCTTGATCAGCTCCTCGATGGTAGGAATCTGCCTAAACCAAGAGAGTTTTCCATTTACACAATGGGACCTCCACATACGGACACCACTCTGGGCCTGTTACAGACACATAACTCTGTATTTTTGAGGTCTGCATTAGGGAGGAACAACTGTAATGTAACTATATAGTAAGCATTAACTTTATAATGTGTACCAGACGATGGTCAAACATAGGCATTCGGTGAGGTCTGTTGCTGTGTAATGTATACTGTAATGGTACCTACTTTGTATCTAGTACTTGCTCTGTCCACAAGGAGAAAATCCACGTTGGTCTCATCTTGCATAGATTTCTGTATCCAATGAGATAACATACCTACATGTGTAATTATAATATCTATCATCAGAGGATGGTTGACATGTGAACAAGTGCTTGAACAGGAAAGGTTTAATTTATGAAAAATATCATTTTTACACAACTATACTTGTGGCAGACTTACCTCTTCCCGCTCCAAATTCAACAAAAATAGCATTTGAAGTTAAGAGTTCGGCTTTTCTTAAATTTCCAATTAACGATGACTGAAACAGAATCGAAAATACAAGTCTTTATAAGACGTTAAATGTTCAAAATCGACAGGCTAACATAAGCTGCAGAGCTGCTTCAATGATGAGCAAAATCGTCTGGCTTTAGACAAATCACATGTAAAAAAATAAGTAGGGCGCACTGGGGCACATTGCAGCTCAATGGGTTAACTAGAGACATTTCAGATTTTTTTGTTAACCCATTAAGCTGCAGAGCTTCCCCATTGACGAGTAAAATCGTCTGGCGTTAGACAAGTGGGGCGCATTGCAGCTCAGTGGGTTAATAATGCACCAAAACTGTCTTGGGGGAAATACAGGAGAAACTTACCTGTTGGTGCAAATGTTTTCTTAAAGCAAGATTGCAAGTCATGTTGTTGATTTCATTTTCAAGGCAAGTCTCTGTTAAAACTGACGTCTTGGCATCAACTGGATTTCCTATAGATACAGTACGGTACGGTATAAATATTTAAAGCTACCGTATAAATATGCAAAACATATGTGTAACTGCATTGCTATTGGCATTACTACTAGTGCTGTATATATAATTTAATGCCTGCAATGTACTGTACCCAATGATTTAGGCTGTTACAGTATTAAAAAAGCGAATATCGATATCCAAAAAATAGTGATAATCTTGACGTTTCCAGTATATTTTTTCTACTCTTGAAAGTCACTAAATCTTAAACCAGATTTTTGCCAAACTCAAGACATCAAAAGAAACCATTGCAGAAAATAACCGGTAATTAAAATAAACCAAGATTTATCAGTATGTTGGACTACAGTTTATATTTAACAACAAATGAATTATCATTAACCATTAATTACCTTCAAAGTATGAATTAATCTTCTCAATACACCTCTGTATATCAGCTTTTGGAATCTTTCTTAATGGTAGCTATTTATTAAGAAGAAATAGAACTGCTGAAATAAGCAATTTAAACTTATAAAATTGGACAAGACAATCCAATATGTTACCCCACACCACGACTGGAATTGGTACATGTTCCGCCACAGATTCGTGCAATACCGAAATAGCTCAACATCATTCTTGATTCAATTGTTTGGCAGAAATGTGGTAGATGATGAGCACCAATTCCAGTCTGGCTTCACACCAGATACAGATCTTCTACTACACACATAAAAACGCACAAGTTCTTACAAGTCTGCAACCAAGTTCTTACAAGTCTGTACATAAGCTGTCAACAAGTTGTCTTCGCACCGCTTGTTCCCAGTTGTTGTAACAAGTTTGGAACAAGCTGTTAACAACTTGTAACAAGGTTGATGGCATTTTCAAACTTGTTACAAGGTTGTTCCAACAAGTCTGATACAGTCATGATGAACAAGAATGTTACAAGGTTGACGACACAAGGTTGCAATAATATTGTTATATCATGACTGTATCGGACTTGTTCGAACAACCTTGTATCAAGCCTGATACTATCAACAAGGTTGTTACAAATTGTTAACAGCTTGTTCTAAACTTGTTGACAACTTGGGACAAGCAGTGCGAACACAACTTGTTGACAGCTTGTTGGCAGACTTGCCACAAGATGTGAGATTTTTACACATGTAGTACATTCAGGTAATCGTGAACAACATCGTTCTCTAACCTTTTCACATGAAGATTTAATGTGTTGTATTCCACTGTTGATGTTTGCAACATAATAATCCTGTAACATATACATGTACTGTAAGGTTACTATCTTAACCCGTTAAGTTGCCTTGTGCTCCAATGTGCCTTTATATAACTTTATTATTTAAGTACAGACGATTTTACTCGACAAGGGCAGAGCACTCGCATTCATTGGGTTAATCAGACCATCTGTCCATTTGTCTGGTTAACCCATCAGACTATAATTAGTTGCGACAATACTGATCCAACAACTTGTCAACAAGATGTCTCCTCAACAGGCTTGTAGCAAGCATGTTAACAAGTTGAGAAAATGCTGTTCCAACAACTTGTCAACAAGATGACTCCTCAACAGGCTTGTAGCAAGCCTGTTAACAAGTTCAGAAAATGCTGTTCCAACAACTTGTCAACAAGATGACTCCTCAACAGGCTTGTAGCAAGCTTGTTAACAAGTTCAGAAAATGCTGTTCCAACAACTTGTCAACAAGATGACTCCTCAACAGGCTTCTAGCAAGCCTGTTAACAAGTTGAGAAAATGCTGTTCCAACAACTTGTCAACAAGATGACTCCTTAACAGGCTTGTAGCAAGCCTGTTAACAAGTTCAGAAAATGCTGTTCCAACAACTTGTCAACAAGATGACTCCTCAACAGGCTTGTAGCAAGCCTGTTAACAAGTTGAGAAAATGCTGTTCCAACAACTTGTCAACAAGATGACTCCTTAACAGGCTTGTAGCAAGCCTGTTAACAAGTTCAGAAAATGCTGTTCCAACAACTTGTCAACAAGATGACTCCTCAACAGGCTTGTAGCAAGCCTGTTAACAAGTTGAGAAAATGCTGTTCCAACAACTTGTCAACAAGATGACTCCTTAACAGGCTTGTAGCAAGCCTGTTAACAAGTTCAGAAAATGCTGTTCCAACAACTTGTCAACAAGATGACTCCTCAACAGGCTTGTAGCAAGCCTGTTAACAAGTTGAGAAAATGCTGTTCCAACAACTTGTCAACAAGATGACTCCTTAACAGGCTTGTAGCAAGCCTGTTAACAAGTTCAGAAAATGCTGTTCCAACAACTTGTCAACAAGATGACTCCTCAACAGGCTTGTAGCAAGCCTGTTAACAAGTTGAGAAAATGCTGTTCCAACAACTTGTCAACAAGATGACTCCGAAACAGACTTGTAGCAATCTTGTTGACAAGTTGTGACAATGCTGCTCCAACAACTTGTCAACAAGACGTTTTGCAACAGGCTTGTAGCAAGCTTGCTGACAAGTTGTGACAATGCTGATCCAACTTGTCAACAAGATGTCTCCTCAACAGGCTTGTAGCAAGCTTGTTAACAAGTTCAGAAAATGCTGTTCCAACAACTTGTCAACAAGATGACTTCTCAACAGGCTTGTAGCAAGCTTGTTAATAAGTTGAGAAAATGCTGTTCCAACAACTTGTCAACAAGATGACTCCTCAACAGGCTTGTAGCAAGCTTGTTAACAAGTTCAGAAAATGCTGTTCCAACAACTTGTCAACAAGATGACTTCTCAACAGGCTTGTAGCAAGCTTGTTAATAAGTTGAGAAATTAATAAGTTGAGAAAATGCTGTTCCAACTTGTCAACAAGATGACTCCTCAACAGGCTTGTAGCAAGCTTGTTAATAAGTTGAGAGAATGCTGTTCCGACAACTTGTCAACAAGGTGACTCCTCAACAGGCTTGTAGCAGCTTGTTAACAAGTTGAAAAAATGCTGTTCCAACAACGTGTCAACAAATGACTCCTCAACAGACTTGTAGCAATCTTGTTAACAAGTTGTGACAATGCTGCTCCAACAACATGTCAACAAGACTTTTCGCAACAGGCTTGTAGCAAGCTTGCTGACAAGTTGTGACAATGCTGTTACAACAACGTGCCAACAAGATGTCTCCTCAACAGGCTTGTAGCAAGCTTGTTAACAAGTTGTGACAATGCTGTTCCAACAACTTGTCAACAAGATGTCTCCTCAACAGGTTTGTAGCAAGCTTGTTAACAAGTTGTGACAATGCTGTTCCAACAACTTGTCAACAATGTATGCCTAACAGGCTTGTATCAAGCTTGTTAACAAGTTGTGACAATGCTGTTCCAACAACTTGTCAACAACACGTTTTGCAACAGGCTTGCAGCAAGCTTGCTGACAAGTTGTGACAATGCTGATCCAACAACTTGCCAACAAGATGTCTCCTCAACAGGCTTGTAGCAAGCTTGTTAACAAGTTCAGAAAATGCTGTTCCAACAACTTGTCAACAAGATGACTCTTCAACAGGCCTGCAGCAAGCTTGTTAATAAGTTGAGAAAATGCTGTTCCAACAACTTGTCAACAAGATGACTCCGAAACAGACTTGTAGCAATCTTGTTAACAAGTTCAGAAAATGCTGTTCCAACAACTTGTCAACAAGATGTCTCCTCAACAGGCTTGTAGCAAGCTTGTTAACAAGTTGAGAAAATGCTGTTCCAACAACTTGTCAACAAGATGACTCCGAAACAGACTTGTAGCAATCTTGTTAACAAGTTAAGAAAATGCTGTTCCAACAACCTGTCAACAATATGACTCCTCAACAGGCTTGTAGCAAGCTTGTTAACAAGTGAGAAAATGCTGTTCCAACAACCTGTCAACAAGATGACTCCGAAACAGACTTGTAGCAATCTTGTTAATAAGTTCAGAAAATGCTGTTCCAACAACTTGTCAACAAGATGTCTCCTCAACAGGCTTGTAGCAAGCTTGTTAACAAGTGAGAAAATGCTGTTCCAACAACTTGTCAACAAGATGACTCCGAAACAGACTTCAACAGGCTTGTAGCAAGCTTGTTAATAAGTTGTGACAATGCTGTTCCAACAACCTGTCAACAATATGACTCCTCTCAACAGGCTTGTAGCAAGCTTGTTAACAAGTGAGAAAATGCTGTTCCAACAACCTGTCAACAAGATGACTTCTCAACAGGCTTGTAGCAAGCTTGTTAACAAGTGAGAAAATGCTGTTCCAACAACTTGTCAACAAGATGACTCCGAAACAGACTTGTAGCAATCTTGTTAACAAGTTAAGAAAATGCTGTTCCAACAACCTGTCAACAATATGACTCCTCAACAGGCTTGTAGCAACTTTTCGCAACAGGTTTGTAACAAGCTTGTTGACAAGTTGTAACAATGCTGTTCCAACAAATTGTCAACAATGTATGTCTCCCCAACAGGCTTGTATCAAGCTTGTTAACAAGTTGTGACAATACTGTTCCAACAACTTGGGCGTAAAAAAAAAAACCTGTGGTTCCGGTTTCATGTCGCGAAAAAATTAGGGTCGGTAGGTCGGAATTTTTTTTTTAAATATTTTTTTTCATGGTTTTTTCAATAATTAGTGTGAAAACAGACGCCATTTTGGCAGCAGCCCGCAACCACCCGGAGAAAATAGGGTCGCACTGTTAATCGCGTTGAAAAAATAATAGGGTCGGCAGAAAAAAGTAGGGTCGGTCGGGAACCGGAACAACAGATATTTTTTTTTTACGCCTTGTCAACAAGATTTGTTCTCAACAGGTTTACATGTAGGAATCTTGTTAATAAGTTTTGACATTGTTGTTCCAACAACTTGTCAACAAGATGTGTTTGCAATAGGTTTGTATATAGCAAGATTGTTAACAAGATGTCTCCTCAACAGACTTGTAGCAATCTTGTTAACAAGTTGTGACAATATGCTGCTCCAACAACTTGTCAACAAGACTTTTCGCAAACAGGTTTGTAGCAAGCTTGTTGACAAGTTGTGATAATGCTGTTCCAACAAATTGTCAACAATGTATGTCTCCTCAACAGGCTTGTATCAAGCTTGTTAACAAGTTGTGACAATGCTGTTCCAACAACTTGTCAACAAGATTTGTTCTCAACAGCTTTACATGTAGGAATCTTGTTAACAAGTTTTGACATTGTTGTTCCAACAACTTGTCAACAAGATGTATTTGCAATAGGTTTGTATGTAGCAAGCTTGTTAACAAGATGTCTCCTCAACAGACTCGTAGCAAGCTTTTTAACAAGTTGTGACAATGCTGTTCCAATAACTTCTGGACAAGATGTGTTTGCAATAGGCTTGTAGCAAGCTTGTTAACAAGTTGTGACAATGCTGTTCCAACAACTTGTCAACAAGACTTTTCACAACAGGTTTGTACCAAGCTTGTTAACAAGTTGTGACAATGCTGTTCCAACAACTTGTCAAAAAGATGTCTCCTCAACAGGCTCGTAGCAAGCTTGTTAACAAGTTGAGAAAATACTGTTCCAACAATTTGTCAACGACATGACTCCGCAACAGGCTTGTAGCAAGCTTGTTAACAAGTTGTGACAATGCTGTTCCAAGAACTTGTCACCAAGACGTGTTTGTAATATGTTTGTAGGAAGCTTGTTAACAAGTTGTGACAATGCTGTTCCAACAACTTGTCAACAAGACTTTTCGCAACAGGTTTGTAGCAAGCTTGTTAACAAGTTGTGACAATGATGTTCCAACAATTTGCCAACAAGATGTCTCCTCAACAGGCATGTAGCAAGCTTGTTAACAAGTTGTGACAATGCTGTTCCAACAACTTGTCAACAAGACTTTTTGCAACAGGCTTGTAGCAAGCTTGTTAACAAGTTGTGACAATGCTGTTCCAACAACTTGTCAACAACAAGCTTGTTAACAAGTTGTGACAATGCTGTTCCAACAACTTGTCAACAAGACTTTTCTCAAAAGTATGTCTCCCCAACAGGCTTGTATCAAGCTTGTTAACAAGTTGTGACAATGCTGTTCCAACAACTTGTCAACAAGATGACTCCTCAACAGGCTTGTAACAATTAAGCTTGTTAACAAGTTGTGACATTGTTGTCAACAAGGTGTGTTTGCAATAGGTTTGTAGCAAGCTTGTTAACAAGTTCAATGGTGTAAAACCTATTTGTTTACGCTCCCTAAATAATCTGAACTTGGCACCTCTGTGCGAAACCTATTTGTCGACATTCCCTAGATAATCTGGACTTAGCAACTCTATGATTATGACTTATAGAGCAATTGGTAATTTCTGACGTGGCATGATTAGTTAATTACTGATAATTACAATAAAGCAATTAAGCCTTTGTCAAATTCACCCAAGCTTTGAAATACAGTGAGTAATACTTACAACTTCCCTCTTTTTGGTGACATTACATTTCTTTAGGTGTTTTTCAAGCTGGTCTTCAAATACTGTACTTAATTTGAACAAAACACAAAGAAATGTATATTTGAGACCACATTCAATTCATATTGTCACAAATAATCCAGGTTCAGATTTGACTTGCAACTATATTGCTACCACTACCTCTAACTGGTATAATCACTCAGTAAATAATTGTAGTATTGTACCAAAGATCTAAGGGACCGTCGACAAATAGATTTCGTCCCGCATCGCGGACTTGGGCCGCGATGGGGGGGAGGGGGTAGATTAGAATCCGCGATTACAAAATATTTGGGACGAAAACTGACTTTAGAAATATAATACGAAGATCAGAAGAAAATGTAGTACATTTTAAATAATATACTCACAAAAAGTTCGGAGGCAAAAAGCGGACACAGCTCAACAACAATACTTCGTTTGATATTTACATTTCGAAGTACATAACCTATGCCCGAACCCATTACGGTTAATTCCGATTTGATATGTGTTGCCGCTGGAATAACTGATCGCGGCCGAATATTTTGTGTTGACTTTTCTGACTAAGTTCGCAGTTCGACACAACCTTTCTTTCGTTCAATCGGGGATATAAATATTGCATTTGTGGACAACAAATCGGGTATTTATTTAAATTTTATGTTGCTTACAACTGCTAAACAATACGGAAACTAGTTTTTATTTATTACAAGCTGATTGTAATGTTAAAAGTCAGCATTACATACTGTATTCTTGCCTATAGTAGACCGCTCACAGTCATATTTCGGAT